CCTCTAAGTACCCCCCAAAAATCTCAGTTAGTATTTCAGTCATTGTAAAGAAATTCAACAATTAACACAGAAACAAAAAGAAAACAACAACCCAAGTTACCCATCTCTTCAAGCAAAAAAAAAAGAACAAAGAAAGAAACGCAAGAAATGAGATTGAAAATGAAAACAACAATTAAATATATAAATTTACACATCTAACAGAAATAGGCAAAACGTCGTGCACGCGACGTGCATCACTCGTAACTGAAAATGTACATGGAAAATGTAATGGATATGAAAAGTCGTGAACGACGTGAAGTACCTATCACTGAAATCACACATGAGAAATGTAACATAATACAATGTATCCTACTGCTACGGCACTGGTACCTCATGTCGAAAAAATACACATAACAGTAGTCTACAAGGTGCATCGTAGTTGCCGAGATGCTGCACTCAGTCTACTGCAACCAACGTTACTCTACGGACGCCCTAATGGTACCAAAATAAGACACCCTGAAAACGAAGAAAACAACAACTACAACACCCACACTACCACTGAGTATCTAACAATAGTACAATACTAAGACAAGACGACACGACAAAAAAAACAGCAGCACACGACATGATGAAATAGAGTGCAAGTAGGGGAAAAGTTGAGTGTTGGCCTCACGGTCACTGACCCCTCTTCCCCTTCCCACTCTCTCTCCTCGTACCCCCTCGAGTGTCGGATGTCGACCTCCTCCTCCCTCGTGCGGATGCAGAAGTCAGCGCAGCGGAGCGTCTAGATGCACCCGTCGGTGGTGGAGGTGGGGGTTCATTGTCGTCGTCATCACCACTGTCTCCGCTCTCGCTCTCCTCCTCACTCTCCTCCTCGCCCTTATAATCCTCGTCCTCCTCCCGCACTGCCGGTACCGTCTCAGGATCATCCTCCTCAATGGTGACAGGGCCTCCTCCCTTCCTCAACAAAACAACCCTCGCACTAGCCTCTGCGATTGTCTGCTCACGCCGGGATCCATGAGGCATCCCCAACCCCTCCGCCCCCAAACTCTCTCCAAGTGCAGCGCCTCCCTCTGCAGTCACGGGGCGTGGACGAGGAGGCACTCCACGCTTGCGTGGAGTTGCTCACGCACAAGAAGTGTCGCTGCTCTCAGAGCGTGGTCCAAGGTCGCGCTGGACATTCCTCTGTCGTGACCTCGTTGAGGCTCACAACCTGATGTTGCTACCTCCCTCACTATCGTCGTCCTGGCGCCGCAGGGTCCCAAGCCCGACTAAAGGCGTGCAGTGTGCTTCGTGACACGGCGGGTGGAATCCAAATCTATGTCCGTCCTCCCGGATAATGTCGTGTCACACACGTCCCGCTGAACTGTTGTTATGTCACGAATCCTCGATCTCCCGGGCGTGTGAGGGGATCGAGAGCCTCGACCTGTGGGCGACGATGATGGATCACCCGCATGTGGTCTAGGAGGAGGGGGTGGCATGTCTCCTGTACGTGGCGTTGGCTCCTGCACGCCCCCCGAAACCCCTGGAACATCTCCCATGGTACGTCGTCCGCTGGAGGTAGACCCGAACCACACGGGCCACGCAAGACCCCATTGAACCGAAGGGATCGCCTGCCACGGTGGATGCTCGAGCCTCCGGTCGAAGATCCGCCGGTCCAAACGAGTAACATCGTGCATAGCATCTCTCGCCAACTCCTCTGCATCTAAAGGTCGTCGGACCTCCTGCGGAGCGAAGTGACTACGAGGACGCGGAGGCTGAACCGTCGGTTCGAACCCCAAATCCGTGATAATGGGCGGTCGCAAGCCATGCACTGCCACTTGAACCGGCTGCAATCATCGGCCCTCGACAAAGTGCAGGCCGGAAAACGAAACAACTGGACCCGTCGCTGTCTCCTGAACCATGGGCCGTGCATCTCCAGCCCCCTCGTCTCGCCCCTGTCCTGCATGCACTACCTCATCCACCGCCTGTGGCCCACCCTCCACAGGGACATCCACTACCTTTGGCCCACCCTGCATAGCCTCATCGTCCGCCTCTGCTCTCACTCCCTCCATAACGTCCTCCATCGCCACCACCCCACCCTGCACACCAACCTCCCCCGTCTCTCGACGTCTCGCCTCCTCCAAGGCGTGTGCGAACGCCTGAGCACGCGGGTTACTCGATGTCATAAGTCGAGTCCTCTCTCGCTTCATGATGTCGCGTGTTGTGTCCGGGGACGCCGCCTCTATCCTCTCTCTCGGGGCCTGCGTCCCCGTCTCGCCTGCTCCGTCGTGCCGTGACGGCGCCCGATCCGTCGATGTCGCCCCGCCGCAACTAGGTGGAGCGCCCATCGACATGTCGAAGTCGAAGTGCGTCCCCATCTCCGACCCCGCCCCCCCTGTCGGAGGAGAAATCCCCAGCTCCATCGCCATACACGGGGTCAAATCCCCCACGACTGGATCAACCTCCTCCGCGATGAAGCGTTGCACGAGGTGGTCCTCGGCGTCCGCACCATCATGATACATAGGAATGGATGCCAATGTCGCCGTTGCCGCTACCTCCTCCTCCCTCTCCATTGTTGCTGCTATGTCCCCCTCCCAAGCTACCTCCTCCTCCATCTCCACTGCCGCCGCCGCTACGTCCTCCTCAGTCGTCACTCGTACTGGCACCTCCTCCTCCGTTGTCCCGACGGTTGATGCCTCCTGCTCCGTTGCTGCCACCTCCCCCTCCTTCTGCAAGACCCCCGGGGAAGGTGATCGTAACCTGAGCTGTCGGACCACTGTCGATCTCTGGAGCAGTCCGTGCGGAGGCAAGGAGGATGCCAACTCCTCCGTCTCCGACTGTGTACTGGCCGGCTGAACAGGCGAGACGGGGGTGGGTGGTGTAGGACTGGATGCAGGAGGTGATGGAATGGGCGACTCTCACCTCGTAGGAGTAAGAGTTGGCCTCCCCGCCTCTGCGCGGCTCATGTCGGCATGAGAGGCCCCGCCTATGTCATCACGCACATCACTCGTGGAAGCCACCTCCCTAAAAGGGCCCCAAAAATCCTCGTCCCCCCCCATCATCTCCCTCTCTGCCCGGCAGGCACTCTGTCACGCCACGTACGTCCTCACCTCGGCGTCATCGGCCTCCTCGTGCATCTCGTCAATCTCACAAGGGATGCGGAGCGCAGGGTCATCTACTCCATCGGGTGCACGCTCCTCATCCGAGTCATCGTCCCTGGGGTACGAACAGAAAATGCAAGCACGTCTCGCGAAAACTGCATCAGCGGCGGGCGGTGCAGAAGCCCCGATGAGATCTCGCGTAACAGGCGCAACCTGCTGGGCAATCTCCTCCTCCGTCATCCCCTTGCGTGTGCCCGTGCTCACCGGCTCCAACTCCAATCCTGCCTGGCAGTCCAGCATCCCCTCGTCACGCTGCCATGGCAGCACGTAACCGCATCCTGCCCGCCGATACTCTGTCAACCGCATATTGGCGGTGATCTCGACGAGTTGCACGACCTTCTCAAAGTTCAACCGGTTGCGCTTCTTCGTGTGGATGCCCTCGTGGACTGCCCAGTTCCTCTTCGTTGGAGAGTCGCAGGACCACATGTGCATCACACGAAGAGCGCACCGCTGCAACTCAGGCGCCCTAGCCCCGTATTGGGACCACCAAAACGCGCACTCGATCGTCCCGGTGTCACCGCTACACGCGCGCCTACAAGCACGCCCCTCCACCCCGCCCCAATCACCAAACACGCCATGCTGCATGTGGAAGTCCTCGAACTGTCGGCAGGCAAGGAGGTACTCCGGACCATCCAACTCGAAACCCGTCTGCGTCAGGATGTACCTCTTGGCTTGCCTCACAAGCCAAGCATGGTACTCCAACACCTCGCTGGAAAAGTAGTGAACATTTCGTATGCGGGGGTTCAGTAAGAACCCAGCGCAGTGAGCTGGCTCAAGCATGTGCTGCATGCAGGCCTGCACACGCTTGATGATGCGGTCTGCGTATGAGGACCCCAAAGGAGCGCATGCCTCCTTCACCTGCTGCACAAGATCCTACGCCCACTCGAGCATGAGCGACATGAACTGCCCCCCATGATCCATTTGCCGGAGCAACTGCATCACAGGCTCCATGATATGGATGATGGTGGCCACCCTCTGCCACCAAGGATCCCATTTGATCTGTCGGTGCACCCAACCCGCTTTGTAGCAAACATCGGCGGACCACGGGATAGAGGCAAAAGCACATGAGTCCTCCCCTCGCATCATGCCCTGCAAAGTGTCCTGCAGGGTCAGGAGCCTCTCCAACATGCAGTACAGAGACGCAAACCGCGTCTCGCATGAAAGAACAAGCCCCATGTTGGGGCTGCGCTTCCTAAAAAAATGAAGGGCCACCTGGTGATTTTTGAAAAACACCACCATCACACGAGCGTGTTTGATAGTATTAATGAACGCGTCACAACACATCGCCATGTCTGACAACAATTTGTTGCAGGCATGGACTGAGCATGGGAGCCAAGTGATCCTCCTCAATGCAAGAGGCATGGTCCCCGACGCCAGAGCCCTGACAGCCCCGACGTACGCTGAAGCGGAGTCGGTGCATATCGCATTGACCCGCTGCGGCCCGCCGAACCTGAACTCGTGAAAAACCTGAACCCATCTCAGAAGGACGTGCTCAGCATCGTCCGGCTACCCCTCTCGATTGATCGTCGTGTACATGACAACCCCTCGAGAGCCTGCGGTGAGGAAATTCACGATCGGTCTCCCGTCTCGTGATTTCCTCCCGTCTGATAGGATGGTGGCACCAGTCACCCAGAATGGCTGCCTCACCTCCTCCAATTCCGCGGTCAACTCCGCATGGTGGGTCTCCACCGCCTGCATGCTCGCAATCTCGCTGTGGCTGGGAAGCACAGCACGCGGCGAACTGCCAGGTTGCTGAAGAAGCATCTGTTGGTATGCCCTTCCTGCCTCATTGCGAAAGGCATTGAAGGAAACCCCGTTGGAATAAAGCCAGCGAAGGAAGGTCTTCTTGTGGCGAGCAACCCCCATCGCTACCATACACCTCATCCACCTTCTGCTGTTTCAGCCTCTTTCCGGCTTGGGTGCCAGCCGGAACAGCTCCTCCGTCCTTCCTCTTGGAAGAACCCTCCCACGTGTCACCCTGCGTTGGAGGCACTTGCCCCTTGCCCCCTCGCCGCTATCAGTCCACGATCCTCTCCTCCGTCAATGGATCGAGCTCTGGCATGTCCTCGTGTCCCGGGAATGCCTCCCACCGCTCCTGGGACGTGCCTCGTGCCTCGCGATCGATGATCATCACGTCCTCGTGGATGTCACCGCCTCCACCCCCCGCTGGTTGGTCGAGCTCACCATGCCCGTCATCTCCCCCCCCCCCCCCCCCCCCCCCCCCCCCCCCCCCCCCCCCCCCCCCCCCCCCCCCCCCCCCCCGGTCCCTCGTGTCCCGCTCCCGAGACGTGCCTCGTGCC